TTTTGTTTTTTTACAAATTGGTCAAACCCAAACTCAAACAAAAACATTGTTTTCAATCGTAATGAATGAGTCTACCGATTGAATAGAATTTTATTATAGACAATTGTCTTGTAAATGGAATTTTTAAAGCATTCTGAATGTAAAAATAAAGAAAATAGTGTGCAAGACAATAAGAAACACTACCTGCCAAAAAAAAAAAAAAACAAAGTGAAGTTTTGTTGAAATCAGTTGAAAAATGTAGGAAATCCGATCCCATATATAAACGAACACACACACACAACCTGGGTTTTATAATAAGTATAACTCGATATGAGTTGTCCCCCTTTCATTCTAGTGACTGCGATGCCTCTTAATTGTATTTTCAAATTGATTTTGTGCAAAAACAATTGTGTTTTTCCAATTTTTGGCGCTGTCAGAACCACCGCAAGGTAATTTTACGTAGTCCTGTGAAGTTTTGTTGAAAGCGGTTGAAAAATGGAGGAAATCCGATCCAATATATAAACGAAGACACACACACAACCTTGGTTTTATAGTAAGTATGATTAAGTATTGAAAATTTTGTATAAATCAGAATTTTTGCAAATTTTTAAAATAAGTGATTAACAAATTTTTTTGTTTTCATTTTGGAAAAAAATGCATCCATTTTTGTAGTACGTAATATATGTTTGTGTGTGTAAAAAATTCATATATAAAATATATCTTTAAAGACAATGGAAAACTTTGACAACATTTCTTTTCTTGAACTTTATCAAGTGTGAAAATTTTATTTGGCAGCTTGTATTTATACAGAAATAATGTGAAAAAAATATTGTTCAATTTTTGATCTAGAGAACACTCAAAAATATTCTAAAATCTTATGGCAAAGTAAACTATGGAAGAAGCTAAGTGATATAATTTTTTGGCCTATGAAGGAGTTAATATTGTTCTTGTTATTGATTTCTTTTTAATATATATTTAATAATTATTTCATTTTATTTGTTTATTAACTTTATTTTTTTTAAAAAGGTCATAAGCAAAATTTTCTTTAATTTTTTAAAAATAAATAACATATATATAAAAAAAAAAAAAAATCAGTAACATAACCTCATTTGTTTAATAGGCCTCTATAGTTTACCATTACTTTATACAGTAAGACATTAGAATATTTTAGAGTAGGGACCTCCACAAAAAATGCAATGCCTAAGGTTTAAAATTAATTTTTAAAAATGAAAAGTTTCTTGGAACTTTTATTTTAGTTTTAAATTCATGTTTATAAATAAATGCTAATGTCAGTGTGTCACACTTTTTCAACTTTACTTCTAGAGGCCATAGCCCAACATACCACACCATTTTGGAATCAGGCTGACTTCATGAGCAAATTAAAAACATTCCAGGCTAGATCATGAAATTTTGGATTCCCAAGTTTTTATTACTGTGATTGTTTTTCATGATTTTTTACGTGATGTTTTGCTACAATTTTTTTTGTACTATAACAATTTTTACAACTTGGAAATAAATTTGGGAATAATTGAAATTAATTGCAAAATCCAGCAAATGAAACACATGAAATAAAAATAACTGTACAGAAAGTAAAGTCCTACTTATATCAAATTGTCATTAAATTAAGTGTCGGCAGAAGAATTATTGTTGAACTTTTAAAAGGTAAAGTTAAATATTGATGCAATACTTAAATGCAGTGATCAATTTTGAGTTCTTCTTTAGTTTATTGTTGCCTATCACAGACAGTAGCAATATGCCTTGCAAAAAAAAATCTTCGCCAACAGAGGGCCAGATTGCAATCAAAAGAGCCATGCTGCAGGAAGGAAAAGAGAGTCCTGCGCAAATGAAAACCCAGATCAAATGGCAGCCAGGAGAGCTTCCAATGCTGAGAATATGCAAAGACTTAGGAACTCTCAAACAAGCTAAAGGCCCAATCAAGAGCCCTCTGCAAGAGATAGCTTAAGTGCCACCCGATAGGGTGGTTATTATGCTAGTGCATTATAAAAAGAGAAATGTGTACTTTTTTTAGAACATTTTTGGAGGTACTTAGTTTAGAGCATTCATTAATTCAAAACTTAATATTTTTTCTCAACGTTACTTCTCTGCATAAATACAAGGTACCAAATAAAATTTACATATTTGTCTTGATAAATTTCAGGAAATGAAACATGTTGGCATAAAAAATTTTCCTCTTGTCTTTAATTTATACACACACTTTGCCCTCCAAAGTTAATTCATGATATATTTACTTATAACACATACATCTAGTTTCATTAAACAACAAAAGTACAATGAAAATTCTTTGAAAATCTAGATGAATAAAAAAAATAAAAATTTGCAAACAAGATTCTCTCTTAAGTGAATTCTGTAACTGAACAAAAAATATAAGCAGACTGCAAAGTTCATATATTCATGTATTATAAAAAGAGAAAATAATTCACAATACAAATATAATTAGTTTTATTAAGTTTGAATAATTTGCTCCGTTTGCATGAAGCAACACCAATCACAACCATCAAATGGTCTATGTCCAATAATAAAGTTGTAGTTTTGTGAAGACAAGTCAACAGATTCATTACACACCGGTTAGATCACGGAATTGAAGTGGGAGGGGGAGGAATGGAGAGAAAAAATAAATAAATAAAAAAAATAAAAGAACTTTTTTTCTTATACCTTTCTCCATGGATTTACCAAAAAAAATTGATAAAGAAATATTTGATTTGGATACAAATTAAAGACGGATTATTATTTTGCAATTTCTCACACGTTTGAAAAATGTTGTTTGATTTAACTCTCAGGGGGTTTCAACTACACTTGGATATAAATTGATGGTGGCAGGATGAGCAAAAGTCTTAAGATAAAACAGTAAAAATTTAACAAGAAATGCAAATGCCAATGATAAAGACTGATAAACAATAGAAAGAAGTAAAAGATGAAAAATGTCAAAAAAATAAATAAATAAATAATAATAATTTGTTGAGAGATGTTACTTGACAGTCATATCTTGTATTTTTAATTTCACATTTTCACTAACATATTATTCTTGTAAATAGTAAAATTAGAAACATAGATTTTGTCTTACCTGTTTAAGTAGAACTTGTTAACTATAACATCCAGCAAGTACATCAAAGCTTCATAACTAGGTTAATAAGGTCATTTTATATATCTAAATATAATCACACATACTAAAAAGCATTAAGAGATAAAAAGAAACAGCAAGTACCCAGTTGTTTTAGGTATATATCTTAACTAGAACTATTTTTTTTTAATTTGACATTAAATAAACCAATTTCTAATGAAATAGCATATTAACAGAGTGTGCACTGAGACACCATCAACTGTCCAAATTTATCTAATTCTAAGAGATCTTTTCTCATGATCAAATTAGCAAACATACTAGCAACTATACCACATTCCATATCTTTAATTACAACCATATTTAATCTTATTATCTTAAAATTAGAACATACCAAGTAACATGAATTTAAAATTATAAAAGATGAATGTACAGTCTAAACATTGATTAATGTTAAATACAACACTAACTTGCTTCAAACTGAACTTTCAGAGACTGCTAAGTAAATATCATATTTATATTAAACTGGTAGATACATGATCTAAAACTATTTCTGAATATATTTCCAGATAAAACATCAAAATGTTAATAATATCTGACTGACAACTTTTCAAAAGCAAATACCTCCTTTGTATATTGCAAGAAATCACATTGACTTGAAAGTAATTTCAGGCAATGTAGTTCTCATGAGGAAAAGGATTCTTTTTGCAATCATTTTTATATAAAAATAAAAATATCAGTGATTGAAGCATGATGCTATTTAATCAGTTACTTAACAATGCTAAATGGGTAAGTATGTTCTAAAAATTGACAAGTTAGACAAGAGATGACAAAGTTGGTAATAACTTATTTGCATAGAAACAACTGAAAAGCTTTTGCCATAATCTAGACTTGCTAACTTGTAATCACAGAATAACATCTTATTTTCTGTCAAAATTTTAAAATATACAAAAAAAAAATATAAAATAAAGCAATATCTAAAATGAACATGGTTCTCATAAAATCTTTAGAGATTAAAACAGGTAAACCAAAACTAAGGATTTATTACTGCTATGTAAAAAGCACATGTTCAGCCATAGAGCAAATCTAGTTGCTGAATATATATCTCTCACAATATACTGCAATAAGTCTATAAAAAGCTATGGACAATGTAGCCAAATCTTTCATGTGTCCTTTCAAAATCAGAATAAAAACAAAGCATATATTTCACAATTTTTACAGGAAATGGTATATATTGTACCCAGATTTAACAGAAGAAATATTAATTCATAAAGTCAAATCACTCTAGACTTTAATAAATTATTTCTGATTGAAGAGTTATGACAAATTTTGTTTTTACGACATGAATTCTCAGCTACTAGAGATTAAATTTTTCTTCAAATTTAAATTAAAAAGAAAACATAGTAATGAATAGATATGATGTCTAAAACAAGATGAGGTGATTTAATATTAGGATCATTTTATTCAGACTTTAAACCTTGTCTGAATAAAATTCACTATCAGATATCATTTAACATTCTATTTTACAGCCTTATCATTTGGATCCATGCTGCAAGATTATTTCATAATTAAAACCTCACACAATCTATATGAATTTAATGGCAATATCTGTCATTAAAAAAAAAATTAAACTTTTCATTTTACATCTCTAAAACCCAATTAATCTCCAGCAAGTTTGTTGTTTGAAAGCAATGGAATACAACCTGTTTAATTGTATATACATTAGTAGATACACCTGAAAAACTGTAATAGTAATAGTAGGATTTGAATCCACAGCCAAACAGCCCAGTTTAACCATAAACACAGATAATGCTTTTGATCAATTGTCATAATAACTTCAACTTTTTAATAACTTAATTCGTATGGCTGCTTAGCAACCCTTTTCATCTTTCATTTTAAGTGAGATTTAAACAACTTCCAAATCAAAATGAATATTTCTCCATCCTCAGCTTGATGCAAGCGAATACAATGAAAATCCATCTCCTGATGATGCAACCACATTTGCAGAATAAGGAGAAGATTGCAGTGTCTCTGATGGACCTCCATCTCCTTTTGATGAAGGAGAACCAAGAGATTTAGTATTAGACTTGCTATTAGAGTTCTTCTCACTAGTAACAGAACTGGTAGAGTTTTTACCATTATCATTATTATTGTTAGCAGTAGTTGAATTATTATCCTCATCACCACCATTATTATTATTACTATTATTAGTAGTAGTTTGGATGTCCATGGTTGTAGATGACTTTCCAGAAGTTTCATGCATCACAAAAGAACTGATGTGGTCAGCATCTTCTTTGCTATTAGACTTGCTGCCTTTTGGGTTAATGCGGAACGGTGAACAAAACTCTTGAGACTGCTGATACGGTTCTGTTTTCACATTCCCCTGGTTACTGGGAAAAAGTTGAGCAGTTTGACTGGTGGACGGAAGACAGTACTCCTGGCTATCTGGAAATACTACAGGCATATCACTGTTCATTCTGGATATTGCAGAGCTACTTAAAGACATGTTATGATAATTGGAAAGTTCCCCAGACTGTAAATAGTGACTTGGGTCCAGCCTGTCCCCCAGGCTATGTTCATCTCCCAAATTGAGCACCACAGTCTGTTTACTTGGTCGACCACGTTTCCTCTTACCAACATATTCATGGTTTCCTCCATCTATTACAGGAGCCACAGGCATTGGCAACTGTTGGTGAAGTTTGTACTCAGCAAGGCTACTAGCAAATTCACGGCAATACCTTTGAACTTTTTCTACTCTAAGCAGATTACCAACACGTTCAATATCTTTGTAGTTGTATTCTGTTAAATTCAATACACCATCATAGAGGAATGCCACAAAGGTACCTAGAGCTTCATCATTGATGCCTGAAGGAAGATTTACTTCCAACTCAGCTCCATCTCGAATATTCTTCTCTAACAAATGAGGACTCACAGCAAATAGTATCAAGCGATGCAACTAGAAAAAAAATAAAAACAATGTAAATATTCTTAAAACATAGTTTATGCACGTAATATAAAGAGGTTTGTAATTTTTGTTCCACATTTCTTAATAATCATCTAAGAAAAGCAACAGAAATAAAAATTAAATACTAGTCAAAAGAAAATTACTTGAATCATTCTTTCATAAAATTTTTATAAATATCAAAATTTTAAAAATCCAAGTTAAATTTGAACACCAGGCTTAATAATGCAGAAAATAAATTCAATTTCAATACACTCCAAAGTTTTGAATATAGGATTGTTCCAGGATAAAAAGAAATGATCCAATTTACATTACCTGATGGTTTAATCATAATCAAGTACAAATAAAAGAAAATCTCATTTGAAAAACAAAATCATTTTTAGTTCTTAATATTTGAAGAAAAAATATATGATTGATATGAGCAAGAAGATAAAGTTAAAGAAATCAGTAATAAAAAAAAATAAAAAAAAAAAGCTTTGATTATCAATTATATGAGCTTTTGTCAAAATTGAATGTATTACAAAAATATGCTTCATTTTTCACAAAATGCTATTAAAGATGAGTTCTAGACATCAACACAGATCTAGTGTGTGTCAGGAAATATTAACTTACAACCATCATTACCTTAATAAATATTAATCTGACAGTATGACACACACACAATTTCTAAGTTTGATGACAAAACCAACTTGTTTGGAGATGGTTATTAAATAATCAACAATATATTCAAATATTAATTTTATCTCATATTAGTAACACAAGCAAACTTTTTTGTTGATTGAACTAACAGTTTGTTTTATAGTATACATATATATATATATATATAGTTTTGTTTTATAGTAAAGTCCATTCTATATGAATTTACAAATTATAAGTTGTATTAATAAGACAGTTAACACAATTAGATAATATTTTTTCTTTTCAATTAAGACTACATATTAATATAAAAATTATCAAGTACTTAAGAAAACATCAAAAGTGTTGTAATCCTTTAAAAGAAAAGAAAAATTACTGCCTACCATGATCTTTGTTTCACCACTACAAATGACAGCATCACAGAGTTTGTTTGTCCTCCACAGCCAGGAAAGTGACTTAAGTATCCCATCTGCATGCTCAGATTCAACATAAGCTTTCTTAAATGGTGTGGGGGATTTCACAGATGTAAATGAAAAACTATATAAATAAAAAAGTGATTTATATATACAATAGACAAAACATAGAAGTAAGAGATGGGGAATGCATACTATACAAACATACTTTTTTCAGAATATATTCGTTGATTATTACCAACAGGTTTTATGACAAGAATGTTTTTTCTATATTGGAAAAGAAGTAAATGAGTATAATGTCTACTCATATCCTTTGTTGCTTTTTATAGATTTACACACATTTTTGCATCTTATGCATATATGCCAGAACACTTATAGAACTGCATATAAAAAAATGATCCACACATGTTCCTTTCTACATAGATTTGTTTTACTTTGCACATGATGATATTTTAGATAGTATTCTGAAACTAAATTTAATAAAAGACCTGGATTGCTCATAAGTGATCATGAACCTTTAATATCTAAGAAAACTGGTAAGGATCAAACATGTGAAATGCTTAATTTCATTGAAAAGAAGTTGCCATCAAGTCGCATGATTTTCTTTATGCTTTGGTGAAGTCAGGAAATACAGATTAACCCAAGTCAACATAGCACATCCAGAAAAAAAAAATGTGAACATTTCATACCTGTCTTTTTAAAATTTAAATTTATTTCTGCTATACACTCATGATGGTAAAAATTTAGTAATTCTTTCAATCAGTGCCTTATATTCCTAAGTACCATACAAAAATGATACTTTCCAAATTAAAATGCCCTTAATTGATATTATTATTTAACATTGTTTTTGGAAATCTAAGTAAGTTTATCTCAGTATGTGTCTATATTTCTGAGATGAAGTATTATGTACACTATTTACATTATTCAAACTATTTATTACGTTTTGGCCATTGTACGCTCCAGCCTTCTTTGGAATGTTGAACTGAACCCTTTATTTTGCTCACTGTTCTAGCTCCACATGCCATGTTTAATGTATGTCAGTTATCAGTTATCTCCTGTTAATTCCCCTAAGTTCTCCACTGCCTTAACCAGGTATTGAACTCACACTCTTTGGGTCCTGTCACTGGATCTAACCAATAAGCACTAAGCATTATAAACCTAATGTCTCAGCAACCACTTTTTACTAGCTCATATTGCAATTATTTGCTGTTAACATTCATGTTTTTACCAGAGCTCATATTACGATTTTTGTTGTTATTATCGCTTTTCTCTGGCACTCCTTATTACTGTATTGTATTCATTTCTATGCTTGGTCAACTCAGGAGATTTTTGTGGGCTAGCATATGTGCTGATTCCTTAAGTTTACGAACTTTCCAGCTGCGGAAAGAAATATAAAGGGGAGACAGGCCACCCCCCATAAGGCTAGGCTTCAGGAACACCAGAAAGCTGTAACACGAGGGGAAGTGGAAAAATAAGGCAAGGCTGACCAAATAAGGAGAGAAAAGGGAGATCACCACTCTCTGTGGGATCAGGTTGAAATCATAAACAAAGAACACCATTGGAAAATTTGTAAACTTAAGGAATCAGCACATATGCTAGGCTTTTTAATGCAGGCACGATATGTAACAAAAATTAAAATATATAAAAAGTTTTAAAAATGAATAATTACAAAAAAAAAAAAAAAAATTAGCCACATTTGTATTTTATTTTTTTTTATTTTAAAGAATTACTTCCTTTAAAATAAATATGATAGGATTGTATGTAAAAAATCTGTCATCCCGAAGTAATGTTCTCTTGTCACTGATACTTGCAAAACAGGTGATTGCTGCCCCTCAAATAAGCCACATTTCTTTTGCAATAATATATCATTCAACCTTTACTATATGTTATTCCTGAAGAATTAATCTTGCCAGAAGTTTGGAGTCTTAAGCACACAATACAGTATCACTCAGCCCAGTTTTTGGTGCACTATATTCTAGTGGTATGTATAAGCTACTCCTCCTACACACTCAGCAGGTAACAAACCAGTATCTGCCATTATCATTTCCCCTTCCCAATATAAATGTTTTATTTCTGATTTAAAAATTCCTGGGTTTACTTAAATTCTCAAAGAAAGCAAAGTTTGGATTGTCCATCAATTGCAAATGAATTTTAAAAAGTTAATAGGAGGGCCCAATTTTCATGAACAATTTAAAAAAAAGAAATATGGAACATCAGCAGTGCAATAATCAATTGGTATTTATGTTTAAAAATAGATTATCTTTAACTTTATATAATCAATAATAGGAATAGATAGGTTCAGTTATTGCCACTTGTTTCCAGTTTAAGTTTCTGGTTCCTTCTTTTAAAGTTTTCTCATTGTCTTTTACTTCCAGTATCCTCATTTTTCAACAGCAATTTTGTCTTATGTTACTCACTTTGAAGGAGTAATCTATGAAACAGTCAATGAGAATGTCATTTTAGAGCAATTCTAAGTAGTCTATAAAATGTATTAAAGACAATGTCTTCTTCATAAATAAATAAATAAATAGTGGACAGTTTATTAACATTAATTACTGAATTTATAGTTTACATGAATATAAGAGGATATATTGCAATCTTAGAATCAAAAAGTTCTGTGTAGGAAATTTGTTATTTGTCAAACTTACTCTAAAACTCTGGAGATTTCAGCTCAAACATTTTACCCGTTTCTTTCATCCACCTATGTTTGTTTTTTTGTTGCTTTAACTCTTTAACTGTTTTATTAATCAGCCATTAAGCCAGCTACAAGAATTCAGAATAAAGAAATACCCCAGGAAATATGTGAAGATGAAATCATGGCATCTCAAGATGACTACTACCACAATTATTACAGTATCATTATTAATGTTGCATGAAACAGTAAACAAAAAAAGAAAATGAAGTCACAGACTACTAAATATGAGAAGTATAACCTTGGTATCTTAACTGGTTCAAGCATTGTTCATGAAAGACAAGCTCACAAAATTATAGAACATAAGTTTGAGTCTCTCACAAAGCTATTTCTAATTCCAAATTCTCACTGGTTGGATGCATTGTATTAAAAGGTTGTATAAAAATAGGAAAAATAAATGGGGAATAATGACAAAACATATCTTATATTAACATGATTTTAAAAAAAAAAATTTTTTTTTTTTTTTTTTTTTAAACAATTTCCAGTATCTTTAACAAAGAGACTAAACAATTAGATGACAACAGAAAATTGCTAAAGTAATATACAATTACCCATATTAAAGTATAGTGGCAGAAGGAAAAATCACTAGTAAATACTTCTGATTGTGTAAAGGAAATCTTACTACTATAAATGGAATTTGAGATGATTCAATAAGCATTTCTTTAATCTTTAGCATACAATGGCATGAGCAACTATTTGCATAAACTGCCAGTTGATCAGAAGATTAGAAAATTCTGAGCAGCAAACTTAAAATTTATTCTACATCAAATATACAAACAGTCCACATTGTAATATTTCCAATTATGACTTATGGTCAAGTATGTAAAATGAGAGACAAAGCACAATTCAGGCATAATCTTAACAGTTAGATTCCAAAAGACTATACATTAAAAAAAAAAAAAATCTCTCTAAATTTTTATGAAATAATTATATTCAAAATTAACTTTTTAAATCACTCTTGCTAATTTTAAAATAAGTTCTTGAATATATGCATTTTGGAAGGTCATCCACAGATTTTCTCAAAAACAATCTGACAAAACTGGTTTAAGATTATGAGCAAAAATGAAAAACTATGAGAAGAAGAAAAAAACTCAAAGTACCTTGGTAATTCTTCAGACGCTATTGTTCGGGAAGGTGCAATGGAAGTGGTTGTAGCAGCTGCAGAACAACCCTCAAGTGATTCAATTAACGAAGAAATGCCTGAACTTGTTGTCCATGATTCTAAACCTTCCTGCAATTAAAAAAATTTCAATTGAAATTGCAGTCATCATCATTGACAAAAATAAAAAATATTTAAAGTTATTGAGCTATTAAATTATGCAATACACATGCATATCTCAAACCTATTTAATTGGTTCAAGCATTGTTCATGAAAGACAAGCTCACAAAATTATAGAACATAAGTTTGAGTCTCTCACAAAGCTATTTCTAATTCCAAATTCTCACTGGTTGGATGCATTGTATTAAAAGGTTGTATAAAAATAGGAAAAATAAATGGGGAATAATGACAAAACATATCTTATATTTTAACATGATTTTAAAAAAAAAAATTTTTTTTTTTTTTAAACAATTTCCAGTATCTTTAACAAAGAGACTAAACAATTAGATGACAACAGAAAATTGCTAAAGTAATATACAATTGCCCATATTAAAGTATAGTGGCAGAAGGAAAAATCACTAGTAAATACTTCTGATTGTGTAAAGGAAATCTTACTACTATAAATGGAATTTGAGATGATTCATTTTCTTTAATGGCAAAACATATCTTTACATGATATGATTTTAAAAAAAATAAATAAAATAAAATTAAAAAATTTTTTTTTTTTTTTAAACAATTTCCAATATGATGTAATGAATATACATACACCTGGGTTCCCCTCACAGTAATATGATTGGCTGGTGTCAGCCATAAATACAGATTGATGTGGAAGTACATGAGGACACCTATTGGCTACGCCTATTGCCTACCACTATGACGAGGACCAGTCCATCACGGTTACCTGCTAGTTTGTCCTAATCGGTTACAGTAGTCCAAAACCACTTTATTACTTCGAACAAATATATCCTTTTCCGGGACATATCAGTTGGCGATGAGATTCAAAACGACCTTGCAAGTTAAAACAAAAGAAAAATAAAAATACAGTTGACAACACTTACTAATGAAGAACATTAGAAAGACTTGTTCGACGCTTACAGAAAGTAAGTAATTTTCCCCTCATTTTTGTTTTAACGCTTATTAACGAGGAACATTAGAAAAGGAAAAACTTGTGCAACGCTTACAGAAAGTAAGAAATTGCCATCCCTCTTGTTTGGACTTAGAAAACTTTATTGTCTACATATATTGGAGAAAAATTTTTTTCTTGTGGATACGTTGGCAGAATGGAACAAATTGCGGAATTAACTAAGGTGCTACAAGTCACTTTACAGCAACAATTCCAACAACAACAATTTATTCAGCAACAAGAAAGGTTTGAAAAGTTATTCAAACAACAGGCAAAAGACAATAAATCACTTTGGGAAAACGTATTATCTAGGACAACAAAAGAACCGGGTTATAGATTTTTTTCTGCTGAAGGAATTTCGAATTCACTCTCTGAATTTAAATACGACCCTGACAATGGTTCCGGCTTATTTTCATAGGTTTGAAACAATATTTACAAAAAGATGTGAACAATGGTCCGACGAGGGGAAAAAAAAAAAAAAAAAAAAAAAAAAAATCACTCTTGTTGCAGAAGTTGGGAACAGAAGAAAATACAAAATACGCGAATTTAATCCTCCCAAAGAAGCCAGAAGAAATTACATTCAGCGAAACAGTAGAAATTTTGTCGAAAATTTCCGATAAAAGAATCTAAATATACAAAGTGTCTAAAATCGTAAAACATGATGATGATGATGATTTTGTCATGGATGCAGGTATGGTTAACACACAGTGTGAGACATTTAAATTAAACGAATTGTCAAGTGACATGTTCAAGTGTCTAATTTTTGTGCAGGGTCTAATGACACCAAAGGACAAACAAGTTAGATCAAGAATCCTCACTATCATGCAACAGAATCCGAAAATTATGCTACAAAAAATAACAGAAGAATGTCAGTGACTTATAAACATAGAAAAAAGATAATACTCTGATTCAGGAGAAGAGCATTTTGTGATTACAAACTGTAAGACAACAGAAGTGGATGCAAAATAAAGAAAGAAAAATTATATGCAGTTTGTGTGGAGACAGCATATAAAGAAGGATTGTTTCTTTAGGGATAAAATATGTTTTAATTGTGGGCGTGTAGGCCATAGAAGTTCCCATTGTCGGGCAAAACAGAGAAAAGTAAAAGCAAAGTCTCAAACAAAGGTGAACATAGTTTTGTCTAAAAACGAAATTGAGGAGGGTCAAAGAAGAAAATACCTCAATGTAAAAATAAATGAGCAGACCATAAAATTATTACTCAATTCAGGAAGTGATATCTCGGTAATAAATGAGCAAACATGGAAAAAAATCAGTTACCTGCCGTTGACTAACACAGACAAAATTGCCAGGGGAGTGTCAGGAAAAAGACTTAAGTTTAGAGGTGAATTAAAACGTAACATTTCGTTCATGGGAAAAATTCACAAATCGAAAGTGTATGGGCCCCCTGGTTCAGTAAACCTCTTTGGTTTAGACTGGATCGTATTGTTTAATTTATGGGAATTACTGGTAAATTCTTTCTGTAACAAAGTTAACATCATAGAGAACTATAAGATGAAGCAAATAGTCCAAAACCACTTTGCTACTTCAAACAAATATATCCCTTTCTGGGACATATTACAATATAATAATAAATTTGATAAATTTAACAAATTACTATTTCTTTAACAATTAAATTGACACTAAATTTGCTGTGATATCTTCTGATTAAATAATAATAATAATATTTTTTCAACTTTACTACTTTTTTTTTTAAAGAAAATAAAGGAATAATTTCATGCAAACAACTTTCTAATAAATTAAGAATAACTGGTGGAGTAATGTATAGTGGCTCAGATTGAGAAATTGGAGAGCCAAGTCAGATCCATTACATTATGTGCTAAAATACCCTTGGGAAAGATATGAAACCTCTTCTTCTCCCTCATCTCCAGCTATGGGTAAATAGCAGGACAGACCCGGTTCTATAGCCTTGGATGGCAACTGATCTAAATGGCAACCTATTGCAGGAAAAAAATCTGCCTTGTCAACCATGTATTGAAAGATACATGATTGCTAAAGATACATGATTGCTGTATCAAGCATGGCACATAACTGATGAGTTAGCAAAAAATTAACATTTGCAGGGGAACAGAGTTATCTCCCTTAGGTTAATAAAATAAAAAAAATGTTGGGGCAAATAATTTTTACCATAAAACTGAAATATATTTAAAAGAATTAGAATAAAATTAACTTCTGAATATAAACTTTCATTAATTCTATGCAGGATAAGAGATTTTTACTTTTATAATCCTTAAGATACCTCATAAACATAAATCTTCAAACAAATGTAGATTCTAACAATATTACTCCAGAGTTTCACATTTTCATGTAAAACTCAGGAAATTTATATTTGATTGCAGGCTATTTAAGATTAAAAATTTAAAAATTCTTCTACTTTTTAAAACTGCTATTAAATTTTTAAAAGTCCTCAAGGATTTAATGAGTAAATTTAATTGTAAATTAAAATGTATCTGTCTATATTTCTGAGATGAAGTATTATGTACATTATTCAGACTATTGTCCTCATCTTTGTCGCCATATTTATTATATATTCGGCCGTTGTATGCTCCGGCCTTCTTCAGGTGGTTGGAATGTCAAACTTAACCCTTTATTTTGCTCACTAGGGTAGACTGTTCTAGTTCCACGTGCCATGTTTAATGGATGTCAGTTATCAGTTATCTCCTGTTAATTTCCCTCTGAAAGTTCTCCATTGACTTAACCGGGTATTGAACTCGCACTCTTTGAGTCCTGTCACTGGATCTAACCAACACCTTTATCCACTGTGCCATGTGTCCTTGAGGAACGCAAACTGTCACAGATACTAATCAAGAACAAGGATCACTTTGCACCTAAAACATATAAGCAGTTATCGCAGTGTTATACCAAGCTACCTCACATACACAGTCTCCCTAAGATTCTCAGACGGTATTCTGCTTAGGCCGATTGTTAGTCGCTTGTAGATCAGAAAGTCTCCTTCATATGTCCAAAATTCCGCCCACTTCATGGAAATAATCAAAGATGCTCCAATCCTATCCAACAAGATGGTGAGCTTTGACATGGTGAGTTTGTTCACCAAGGTACCCACGGAGAAGGCCACTCTCAGTAGTCAGAGACAGATTGGCCTCTGACTCATCCCTAGAAGAACGGACCAGTATTCCAATAGTTAATCTGATGGAGATGTTGACTTTCTGTACACAAACAACACACTTTGGAATGGGATCACACACATATTGACAGGATGAGGGCTTAGCAATGGGCTCGCCATTATCACCAGCAATGGCGAATATATACATGAAATACTTTGAGGAAATGGCATTAGAATCTATATCTCTAAAGCCAACTCTATGGTTAAGGTATGTAGATGATAGCTTCATACTCTGGCCACACCAGGAAGATGTTCAGGTTCTACTGGACCATGTGAACTCAATAAGACCTTCAATACAGTTCACGATGGAGAAAGAGCGTAACAACACACTCCCATTCCTGAATGTTCTAATATCTCGAACAGAGTATGGGTTCAAGACATCCTTATACTGTAAGCTGACATTCACCGGACAGTACCTCAATTTCAACTCCCACCATCCATACAGTGTAAAGAAAGGGATCGTCCGCTGCTTACAACACCGATAAAAAGTCATAAGTGGCAACCCAGAGACATTAGATAAAGAATTGGTAAGTATAAGTAGTACCCTACAACGTAACAACTACCCTGGGTAGATGGCAGCAGCCCCAATAAACTGGGATAGGCGGGTACAAGAGGAGGACAACAACACTCAGAAAACAGTCTGCCTACCGTGAAGGGATTATCAGAGAAAATACAAAGGATCTGTGGTCCATATAACATCAGGACAACCTTCAAAAACTTGACGACACTTCACAGATATCTCTCCCGAGTAAGACCCCCCCATAGAGGAGAACATGACTAAAGACTATGTGTATGCTATCCCGTGCAGCTGCGGAAAGAAATATAAAAGGGAGACAAGCTTCCCCCTTAAGGTAAAGCTTCAAGAAC